GCTCCCGCAATCGGTGGGGCGAACCTCCCACAGAGGCCTTGGCGCGGATTACGGGTTGCAATCCCGCCTGCCGCCTTCCTCTCAAAACCAATAGACCAGACTTAGAGTAAGAAGGGCAGAATGAGAAAGATTTTCAGACTCTCAGAGAGGGCCTTGATACCTTCGATCGCCTGAGGGCCCCGCAATGGCGGCCAAACAACACGCGGCAACTTGGTCTGACCGGAAGTCAACTGTCGCAGTCAACTCTCTAACGACCTTCCCGAACTGCAGCCACGACCCCCTCCACAACTAAGTAGACGTACAACATTTGTCCTCCAATCTCGTGTGCCTAGGGGCCGTTGCTCAGTCACCTGCGTGGTTTGCAGTTTGCAGCACCGCGCCCATCATGCAGTCCGCGGTCCCCACAGTTGGCCCGACTGCTCCTCCCTCTTCCTCGTGCTTCTCCCTTATCTCTCCAATGCAGATCGTCAACGGTCCCAACCAGGTAAGTGTTGCCGCTGTTCACCCCTCGCTGGCTCGGCCGACAGGCTGCGCAGTGTAGCGGCCAACCAGCAAGTCTCGACCCCCGCCGCACTGACATGCACAGGTTGCAAAGTCTGGCCCTGTAAGCTGCGGGCGACTCCTTCCCTGGAGATCAACTTCAACAGTACGACTCGAGCAGACCTAGCGGCAATAATCGGAAAATCCCGCCTTGCCGAGTATAACTGTGGCTGCAGCTAAGGCACATATTCTCATACCATCCTTCGCCCCCACCCCTCCCCCTCCTGATGGACGGCGGGAAGGCATCCTTGCGCAGCGGCCATAAGCACAGGAGAGCAGGCTATAACTACGTCCACCAGTAGATGGGTGGAATTGAAAATGAATATACCGCAAGAGAACGGCCAAATACCCGACAGTTTGAATTCGCTCGTCCCTCACAGAACTTTTCCTCTTACTAATCTTCTAACCTAGTACTCCAACACTAAACTAACCTCATAACCTGCTTTGCCCCCAAATCTTTCCCTGCCTGATTCCGTTGAGAATCGGGCCAGGTATGTTCATTCCCCTTCTCCTCTTTGTCTTCGAATGCACCTGGGCGCGGATCTCGCCCAGGTTCATCCGTTCATCATTTTTTTTCCTCCAAGACAGCCAATGCACCAACCTACAGGTAAGTCCCCAACACCATGGCCTGCGCATGTCACCTCCAAAACATTATTTTTTTTCCTCCAAAACAACTTGGGTGAATCTCCCACAAAAAACCCGGGAAGATACATCGCCACTCCCAAAAGACCTCCCCTTCCCAGCATAGCTTGCGCATGTCACCTCCCAATTAACTCCCTCTCCTCTTCTTCTTTGTCGAGTCCGGCTGCGGAATCGGGGTCGCCGCCCGAAAGCCCCTGTTTTGAGCCCTCACCCGCCCGATTTTGTCGAGGATCGGGCGAAAATTCCCGTTCCCCCTTCTCTCCCTCGTTCACGCACACCTTTTCTTACTAATCTCTTCCTACGCTAACTTCTACTCACTTCCGACCTCATAGGTCGACTCGTGGGGTCCAAAACCCCCAGAATCAAGCCTTGGATCGCGCGTTTTCGTTGGGAATTGGGCGAGTTACCTACTTTCTACCTCATCCCTTTTTCACCCCCGCCATAGCCCGCGCACTAGTTTTCTCAAAAAGCTCTCACTCTACTAACTCTCCACTAATTCTGACATGAAAGACGAAGTCACCCAATACAAAGACCTCAGAATTACTTCTTTCCCCGCTCGAATCCATCAGGGATTGAGCGAGTAACGAGCTTTCCTCCGTGCTCACGTCTGCCTCCGCCATTCCCCTCCTTAGTTTTGAACGCCCCTGGCACCGTTTTCTGTCCAGATTCACTTTCTTCTCCCCACCTTTGTCTGCATGCTGCCTTCGCGCAGGACCCGGGCCACCTCGCTTAGTCTCTCTAGCGCTGCCCCGCCTTTCTCTCCGCCTGCACCTCAGTTCCCTCTATGCCATCTTCTTCTCTGCCCGTCCCTGGCGCGGAACCTCGCCAGGTTCACTTGTTGCCCGTCGCCTGCCTTCTTGCTCGCCCTGCTGCTAGCCGCTCCCGCTGCCTCAGCATCCTTACCGCTTTCCTCTACCAAAATGCACCCGGCTCAAAACCGCGTCCGGGTTCCTTCGGCTCCCTCCTCCCCGCCTGCGCGCCCCGGCCTCCCGCGTCCGCTACTCCCCTCGTCCTTCGCTATCTGCTGATCTCTAACCGAACTAACTCGTCAACTACACTCCCCCGGAGCTAAAAGCTCCGACCCGACGCCCCTACTTTCCTACAGTCGTGGGGCGTAACACGCACTCCCCTGCCTGGACTGCCGTAGCACCCTCACCTCCGGCGCGCACCTCAACACGGAACCCGTCCGGGTTCCCCCCCCCCCTGTAGTGCTTAGCGCTTCCCCGTTTCTCCCGACCGCCCCGACTACCAACTTCTCGACGGGCGAAACTGTCAGTCGCCCTGACCGAGCCTCCCGCACCACTCACCCTTGCCCTTGCCTGAACCGGGCGAGACCCGCGACCAGATCCCCTCCTCCTCCATGCCGGGGACTACCAAATGCCCCGAGGGCCAAATCGCGGCAGTACCCCACCCGCGGTGCTCGGACTCTTGGCCGCGGTGCCGCGTCCCACGTCAAATGGGACCACACGTAATAACGAGGATAATAAAAAAAAGGAAAGAGAAGGTGGCGGGGACGACATGACGGGGCCACTGATGATGGGGAAGACGATAAACAGAAACAAGTTGAAAACAAAGATAAAATAAAATAACATAAAAAAAGGAAAATCCTAGCCAAGGGGTGGGAACCGCCGGTACCCCACCGGTCCCATGGACCGGGTCCGTAGTCGCGCCCACCAACAAAACCAAAGGGGGATAGCCCCGTCGGGCCCTCAACCCCTTGGTTTCTTCCGTGCTGCTCCGCTGCTCCTGCGTCGACGCTTGCTGGCTTTGATCCCAGAACCTATGTGCCAATAACCTAACACCGTAACCTATAGGGCTAAGCCCAAGCCTAATACAGTGAAGCGCGAACTTCAATGTGAAGCCTGGGAGCAACAGCCTGGGCCTTCCTGTCCAATCAAGGCCGGCACGCCATCACCAGGCACTGGCACTAACCTACTTGAACCGCGCCGTGGCTATCCCACGGGCCACCCCGCGCGCCAGTCCTACCGTCGGTCATGTGTGCCGACCCAAAAGCGGACTTTTATCCCTTAGTCAAAACCGTAGCACGGTCCAGGTTGGCCGACTAGGCCGACCGTTCACTCAATCAAAGAAATCACACGCGCGCCTTAATTCGCGCGCCCACATACCCCCTAACTTAGCCAAGGCGGGTCCCGGACGCGGTCGTGCCTCGCACGGCTTATTTCAACCAAACTCATTGTTCCCTGTCATCTGCAAAAACCCGGGCAGATACCCTTGTAAGGGTATTCGCGCCGACAGCCTACCGGACTATATTAAGCGACGTCCCCGTCGCTACGCCAAATCAGAAGCTATGAACTCGTCCACACTCCAAATGCCGATGAGAATGGAACCAATCCGATTAGCCGACAGACTCAGGGTTGAGGCCTCCAATACTCCATGCCAACATAACTATATGCTGCCAGGGTTTCAACCTGGTTTTTCAGTGTCCTGATGCTAGGACGCAGGTGTATTACGCATCAATACTACAGCATAAGTTCCAAAGGCCATCTCAGACCTTCCTTTCCCCTTTGTCCTAGACAAACGCCGGCTTTTCGTTGGGTATCCCAGTTAGACTCTCTCTCGCAAGCAGAGTCGTACGGGGACGCGGGCCTTAGATAAGACCTCAGAAGGCACTCTCGCCTTCCTCACGAAAATCCTCACAATCAACATATATATACATAAATCTCCTCTGAGCCCTTTCTGCAGTCTAGTACAGAAACGCTAGGTCTCCATTCTGGCCCACCATAGTCTGGTTGATCGAGCCAGATCCACGGCCCACCGCATTGTTATCTTAGCGGCAGTCCCTTCGTTGGTTATGCAACGATAGGTTTTCTCCTGCTAGGCATCCAATCAAGACGCCCAAACGACTCGACTCGTATCCCCCGCCATTCCACCAGAGTAATTTCCTCTAGGCGTGCATAACCCCTTAAACTCTTACTCTGCTGTTAGACGTGGGCCCGCAGCCAGGTTGTGCTAGTTTGCAGCCATCCAATAGGGGTTGCGCCCTAGAGGTGCTAACCTTTACCGTTTAGCTTGGTATTCCCTAATATGCCTTAGGATTAGCACAGGTGTCCAGGCGGTGCGTCGCAAAACAAACTCACAGGGTCACTGCGGGACGACGCAGGGACCCGCCCCACTTTTAAGGGTATTTACCAGCCCCCCATGGGACAACACAGAGGGCACGGCCCCTTCTCACAATCACAAACAAATTCACCGCCAGACTCACACGAGGCCGTGGCCTACTGACTTGATCAGAGACAGCAGACCACACATCCCATGACATCTTTATGCACTGACCTGCGACCTTCTCAGTTCCACCTATGATCCCAACTCGTAACCCTGGTCCCTCTCGTCGGACTTTATCATTCAAACATTGTTGACCATGTCCTTAAACCTATCACCCATTTTTCACATGAAGGGGGTCTCTCTCAACAGGTCTCCTAGCCACCCTTCTCTTTACAGGATGGACCATCACGCGACCTGGGTTACACTGCTGTCAATAAACAACATCCCCACCTTCCATAATCCGAAGGGGGCTTCAACCATAAAGCAACTCACTGAGGGCCTACTTAAGGGTCTTCTTTGTCAACTTAAACACAAAATAACTCAAACTAGAGGGGGCCAACTTATGGGTCCCCTTCACGGCTCAGCCATAAACATTCGACACGGTAAGCATCCGAGCCTTTATAGGCTCGCAAGACCCCTCAGGGTCCTCATACATCTGTCACGAAAACGACCGCGCTGCCTCCTCTTACACCCGGTCGTTCCGCCCGCCCATGGGCAGGCCGCACGAGTATACCGAAGAGTAGACGGCAATCACAACCACACAATACACATATATGAGATGTATCCCACACATCTCTCACACAAAGCCCTCATTCATTGGGATAAAGCCACACGTGTGAGAGTGATCATGATCGTCACAAGAATAAGTCTCACAGAGTCTGGAATCAAAAATATACTCGGGAGCAAAATATCTCCCTCAAGTCTCAATGCAACACTCAACTCGGGCCCCCACCCACACAACTCGTAGGATGTACTTGGGAACAAAATGCCTGCCTGGAAAATACTGAAATACTCACTCCACTGTCTCACTCCGCAGGATAGACTCACGTCCCAAGTGTCATGAACTCTCAGAACCTGCTCAAAGATACAAGTAAAAGTATCTGAATCACACCACTGAAAATGCAAGTCACGTATGTCGTAGATATCATACAACTAAGTCTCATCCCCTGGACCGTATCACACCTAAAGCTCAAGCCGATCACACACCGCCACCTATGTATACACAACTAGATGGGACTCGCCTGACTAACTCAGAGTATGTATACCCCTATCGCGGCCTCTGTGTTCAGAGGAACTCTAATCCTACTGTCGTATAGATGGACCAGCTCCTACTCACTCATAGTCTCCTGGTTCTGTTTATATAATTGCCCCCTACCCCCATCTAGAGCCCGCTCTACCACTCACCCCGGCCTGTCGTACATTCTTCCACCACTCTCTGTCACTCTCCCAGCCGCCTTGTCCTTAAGGAACTTCGGGCATTCAAGAGCTCTATGCACACCGTCCTTGCAAAAGAAGCACTGATCGTTTGGTCTCCCCCGACACCTCCTCTTCTTCTTCTGGGACCCTGGCAATGACGGTGTCTCGCTGGTCTCCCTGCTCATCTCATGGCTCTGGGGCATACTCCACGACTCTGCCGGTCCTGCCTCCACCGTCTGGGTACTCGGCCCTGCTAGCATCTCATCTCCCTCGGGTCTGTACGCTGGAGTGTCCAATCTCAGTGGCCTACCCTCGCGGACTCCTCCCATCGCAGCCACCCCCTCGTCCCTATGCTGGTCAGAAGGCTGGGGAGTCACGAGAGTCTCTGGCTCGCTCATAACTTCCTGCTGCTGCTCTGAGATGTGCTCTCCTGAGTCAGCTCCAGTAGCCCAAGAGCCTAACTGTATCCTCAGCTCCCCTATCTCTGGCACGCGCTCCGGGGTCTCCTGCCTCTGAGGGCCCCCTGACGGCATGTCCAGCTCCATAGCTGCCACCAACTCGTCCAGTCGAGACGCCTCTCCCCCCATTACCTCCGGCTCAGTGGATGCTGCTGCTCCCGTAAGGGCATCCTCTTGCACCTCCAAAAGGATCGTAGGGGACTCCTCTGTGGGCCCCCCTCCGCCACTGGAGGTTGGGGTCTCTGCGTCGGCTCGTCCCCAGGAACCTCAATTGTCATAGCGGTGGCCTGTTGTGAGGCCAACTTTGTGGGAGTCCTGAAGTTGAACCTCCTCTCCTCGGCCTCCCGCCTCGCCGCCGCCTCTGCTGGGTCCAGGAGTACCTTCCCCATTCCCTCTTGCTGTGGCGTCTCCGTCGTCCCTTCCCGGCCAAAGAGCCCCTGTACCTCCTTCCCCTGAATACCATACCGGCTCTGCTCCGTCCAGTCGACCACCTTAGTGGCCGAGAGCCTTTCTACTATCGCCGCCATGTCCTGAAGCCTCTTCTCCCACTCTGCCTCCTTGGCTTCCATGCGGGTCCTCCACGCCTGGTTCTCTGCCCTCTCTTCTGCCAATTGGATGGACAACTGTCCCACCTCTAACTTCGAGGCCGCCAACTCATTGCTGAGCATGGAGTACCGTTGGAAGGACGAGACTGCCACCTCACCTATCCTCCTATCTGCACGCTCAATCTCCATCCTGGCGGCTGAAAATCCCAAGTCCTCTGTCTTTCGTGCCTCGCCCATCCTCGCATTCACCTGTCCTGCCTCTCTAGACCTCAGGCGAGCCGCATCCCTCTCGCTCTCATAGCTGGCCCAGGCCCCACTAATCCTTTGCTCGCTCGTCGAAGGGTCAATCGGCGGCTTTGGCGCTTCTCCTGCGGCCTCCATTCTAAGCTTTTCCTGGTATAGATCTTCGAGGCGTACCTACACCCTCGCGCGCTTCTCTTCTTTCGTCTCCCCCGGTGGCCTCCCTGTCCTCGCCTCGTGACCCTCTCGCAATGGATCTCTCTCTCTTGTCCCCTCCTCTACGGGTGGCGGCTCTGGCGGAGGCTCCCTGGATGTCGGCACCTCCACATCCATGCGTGCACCTATAGACTCAGTTAGTTGCGGCACCACAGTAGTAGGTGTCCTTGCCCTCTCGCCCTCCTCTGGCTCCACCTGCGTCGGAGGTGGCGTAGCAGCTTCCGATGGAGGCCCCAACAGCTCCTCGCTGTCCGGCTCAGGAATCCCTTCAGGCCAATACTGTCGCGTCTGCTCCGGAATCGGGGCAGGGGGAGGGGTATCATCCCCAACCGTGATAACCCCCTCAGTCAGCGGCTCCTCGGGTTCGCGAGACCCCGCCTCAGGCCCCGGCTCAGGTGGCTCCTCCTCTGGCTCATCCTCCACTGGCTCATACCGTGCCGGTCCGCTCTGGTCCGCTCCCAGCTGTGATGCCCCCCACTGGGACGCATCGAGATGAGCCTCCAACCTGTCGAGCGGCGTCCTCAACGGCACCGCCCCTCCCCCCATTGGTAACGTCGGCGACGGGCCCCATAAATCACTGCCCGTGATTCGGCGAAACTCCACCTGCTCGAGCCCATAGGTAGGGGGTAGCTCCGCCGCCTGAGCTGGCCCCGCGGCCTGAACTGGCTCCACCGCTTGGGCGGCCTCTGCTGGCCCCTCTCACTGTGCCAAGGCCTCTCGGCCCCCTTTGGTCGTAGTGGCCCCTCTCGCCTCTGGGCCCCGTGGCCTCTTACTCCTTTGTCGCCTCTCCACCCTGGGCTCCGGCCTCTCGGGCTCCAGTCGTCAAAATGCCTGTCTCAACTGGGCCTGGCAGTCCTCCCAGCCGTGTGCCCTGTCCCGGATCTGCCTCGCCAACGACCTCTCCGCCCTCCGTGTCCAGAGGGGCAGCATCTGCATCCACTCCTCCTGCCCAGTCCCCTGGTCGCGCATATACTGCTCGTAGGCCGGAATGAACTCCTTCGCATTGCCTTCCTCCAATCGAATAGGCAATCCATCCGGTCCCATCGGCGAAGCCCTCAGCATTTGCATCCTCGCCTCCACATTCTGCCATGTCAACGCCTCCTCTCGAATGTGCGCAATAGGCTCCTCGAAGCGCCCAACTCCCCTCAGGCGCCGTATCCTCTCCAAGGTAGACCAGCCCTCCCGTGTCGCATGTGCCTGGTAGGAGTCTAGAAAAAGCTCTATGTTACCGTCGTCGAAGATAGGCGTAGACTCCCTCCCAACCGGTCTGCGCGAGTCACCCTCTCCTGATGCTCCCTGAGGCCCCTGTCGTGGCCGCGCGCCCCTCCCGCTCCTCTGCATGGCTGTCTTCGAAAAGTCAGACCTGCACAACAGGCGAGAGAAAGCAAGCAGGCACACAACAACGTTAGCCCCCGGTTCATCAAGTTTCTATGACAACACACATGCCTTTTCCTACTCCCTCGCCTGTCCAACATGTGATACCTCAAGGACTAGTCCATTCTAAAGAGTGTAAGGTTCTTTACCTATTCCCTGGCCACGAATTTCTTTAGCCTGGTCCCTGATACCCAATCCTGCCAGCCTGTCCCGTCTAGCTCCTCGATCTGATAGGCCCCAAATTACAATATTCTATAGGGGCCCAACCATCTCTTGTCAAGCTTCCTCGACCATTGCTTTTCCAAGGAGGAGTCGTATAATAATACGACATCCCCTACTGCCAATGGCTCCTTTCTTACTCGTGCCATCCGGTCCCACCTCATCCTATCTACCATGCGACTCCTTTCCACCTGACCAGCGGCCTCTCACAATCTTTCTTCGGCCGTCCCCACTTGCCGCGCCCGAATATCGAGCAGTTCTTCGAAAGACAGGTTCACCTCCAAGTCCTGGCGCCTCCACGTCTTCATAAAGCTTTCTATGGGAAAGGTGGCATGCCTCCCATACCATAGCATGGCTGGCGCGTACTTGGTAGTCCTCTTTACAGTAACATTCTCCACGAAGAAAGCTGCCCGTAGGAACTTCGGCCACTGACCAGGTTTGCCCTCTGTCCACTTAGCCAGGAGATTCGTGATGGTACTGTGCCCCCTCTCCACGGGAGCATTCGCTTGAGGGTGTGCGGCCGTAGTATAATTGGCCACTACGCCATACCCTGCGAGCAACGTCCTCACCTCACTGCAGGTAAACTCTGATCCTCGATCCATCACAAACTCTCTGACAAAAGGGTATCGCAGGTAATACTCCTCGATGCAGTTCGCCAAAATTGGGCCAGTCTTCGTCCGGATAGCTCGTCCGTCCACAAATCCAGTAAGGTTATCCCGTGCATCGAAGATGTAGTTACACCCATTCTCCCCTGCTGGCATGAATAACAGGTCCAGGTGTACGACCGCACCCACTTCCCTTTCTAACCTTGGGTGTAGGGGTTCTCCAGGCCTTTGCGTTGATCTCTCTTGACAAGGTATACAGGATCGGCAGTATTTGATAACCATCGTCAGCATCCCGTCCCAATGGTAGAGCTCGCTTATCTTCGCGCATGTGGCACTTACCCCTCTGTGCCCCCCTGCTACACCATCGTGTAGGGCCGCTATGATATCAATTTGCCGGTTTCTCCCACATACGATCCTCCTGGGGTTCCCGACCTGCCGCTTTATAAACAAGTGGTCGTCTCCTACAACATAGACGTGCCTCATCTTCTGTGCCTTGGCACTTGCATCTCTATCCCTCATCTCACATGATAGGAGCAACCCCAATTCCCGGTAGATCCCTTCGTACTCCTCCGCCCGAAACGCCTCCTTAATTTCTCCTTCCCCGAACTCGTCGTCTCGTTTTTCGGGAACCAGAATCTCATTTCCCTCATGACTGAACGAGCCCTTCCGGTCAAAGTCTCCTTGTAGGAGCGTATTGGTGAGCAGGTACATTCCTCCCATTAGCTGCTCATGCTCTTCTACCTGCGTGGGGCCTTCCTCTATTGTCCTCACTTCCTCCACCAGACTGTGCCTATCTGCCAACGCCAACTTCATCATCCAACCAACATCCTTACTTCCCCACGGATCCTCCTCCTGAAAGGACTTGAGGACTAACTCTTCCTTCTGCTAGTACCCCTTTGGTGCCAGCCATATGGGGTGGATGACACAACTGGGCGCTCGCAGGGACCATTCGTTTATGTGCAGGCGGACGTCCTCCTCTTGATCCAAAAACCCATCAACTGGCGGTGTGTCTTTTATCGATTCCTCGTCCGATCCGTCCCAGTTGATGCGGCTTAACCCATCTGCCTTGTTCTTGTTCCCTGGGATCCTTTCCAACTCGAAATTGAACATCCAAATGTAGGTCAACCATCTTGCGACAGTTGGGTCAGATGGAGTATAATTCTTCAGGGAACATGCCAGTGCAGTAGGGTCTACCCTCAAGATGAGCCTCCTGCCAAAAACATAGTTCCGGAAGGTCCTTAGGCAATGGAGTACCGCCAACGTCTCCTTCTTGAACTGAGAGTAGTTCCTCTCAGTTGTATTGAGGGTACGACTTTCAAATCTTAGCGGCCTCTCCTTCCCCTCAGTATCTGCCTGAATCAGGACTCCTCCCAAGGCAGTTGGCCCAGCGTCCGTCTCAATGACGAATGGTCTTTCCTCCGTGGCCTCATAATTTGGCGCTCCCAATACCAAGCCCCCTTCCTTAAAGTCTCCCTTCATCCTACCGACCGCCTCTTCCTGGTCTTCACCCCAGACCCATTCTTGATTCTGGCGCACCAACCTCCTTAAATGCTCCGTCTTCGTGGCAAAGTCCTTCACGAAGCTCCTCCAAAATCCGCACGTCCCAAGGAAGCTCCTCACATCCGTTATCGAGCGGAAGGGCACTGACCACTCAAGAATCTTATCTGTCTTCTTTACGCCAGGCCTCCGCCCACTCTCATTGCAGACGAGTCCTAGAATCGTGGCCTCCCTCATACAATGTTTCGACTTGGGGCCGCTCGCCGTCAGGTTATGTTCCTCCAATAACCCCAGAACCTGATCGATGTCTTGGACATGCTTCCAGACAAAGCGTCGCACACCGGGCATCACTTCGTCTTCCTCCTTCTCCTTCGGACCTTTGACCGCCAGGTCATCGATATAGGGCTGAGTGATATGTGGGTTGACCGTCTGCATGGCTCTGATCATATGTCTTTGCACCATCGCCACTGCATTCGTCCAACCTTGAGGCGCCACGTTCATATGAATCAGCCCTCTGGGAGTGTGCATTACCGTTACGGGCCTGTCTGGCGGGTATACGGGGAATTGGTCATACCACGAGTAGAGGTCTATAAGCGAGATTATAGGCCTCCCTGCGCACGATTCTGACAATGCGTCCGCGTTCGGCAATCCTCCCGCGTCCCGCACTGTCACCGCATTTAGCCGTTGCAAGTCCTGCACCCACCTTAGCGTCCCATTTGGTTTAATAAAACAAAACCAAGGCGACGCGTATGGCCCATTGGAATAATCGGCCACGTGCGTCCGCATCTTGCCGTCCAGGTAGTCTACCACCATCTTTTCCTCGTCCGGATTAGGGTACCGCGCGCCCCTTAAATTTCATGGCTTGTGCGGAACGGTGTGGATTCGTATCATCGGAATCTTGTCCACATCCAGCCTCCCACGCTCATCGTGGTTGAAGGCATACGCGCGGTGCCTTTTCTTCATCAGCCCCACCATCAACGTTCTTTCCTGGGGCGAAAGGAAGTCGGGCTCCCCGATTATCAGCTTTCCCTCATTCTCGTCGTTGATACGGCATGGCCCGGCCAATGCATGCTCCCGCATACGCCGTATCAATCCTCGCTCCCGCTCGTAATAGACCTCCTCATCCTCTGTGACGAGCACGGGAACTGGGCGGCACTTCTTATCTATGGTCTTGTACCGCCTTTGGGAACCCTGCTTAAGCCCTCCCCTAAAAAAGGCCGACTTGTCGCTCGGGCCTGGGCCATCGCGGGGCCTCCCCTTCCTCCCGGAAGCCGATACACCAACTCCACCTCCCCTACTTGCGGGTTCTCCAAAACCTGCTCCCTCAATGCCTTAATGGCCTCCGGATCCGCCATGTCGTGAGCCGATACCACCTCCATGGCCTTATTTACATCCGTGAGGCTCAATGTCAGCACCTCAGCCCTATCTTCCTCCTCGGGCACTTCCCAAAGCCGTCTCCGCTCGTTCTCTGATTCCTCAAAGGTGAACGAGCCTAGATTGGGCCTATTCCTCCCGCTCCTCGGCCCCGTGTTCCGGCAGGTGATAACTTCATAAGTCCCACACGCCGGGTCGCACAGGAGCAGGATCATCGTTCCGTCGTGCTTGTTGAAGATCAACATTTCCGTCCGGCACAGGAACGACCGCCCCAGAAGGATGGGGTGATCGACATCGGGCATAACGAAAAAGCACGTCCTAACTCGCACCTTCCCAATCTCTATAATCACATTTGATGCTGTGTCGCGAAAGGCGGCCTTGCAGTTAGCGCCGTGCAGCATGCCATGGTCCGAGCGGTCGATCTCCATGCCTGTCATCACCGCCTCCTTCTCCCTGATGATGTTCATCTCCGCGCCCGTGTCCACCATCCCAGTGCATTTCTGGTCCCTTATCAACAAATCCACCTGCCCGCACGCCACACATTTCCAATCCATCCTTGTCCCTGCCTCAGTCCACTCCACATCTATAGGCAGGACCATACTCAGATGGACATTTGGCACCAGCCTTCGCGACAGCCGCCCCTTTAACTGACCACGAAGCCTTGGCGCCGACGCCAGGATGTCCCTTAGGTTCATCAAGTCATTATGGCCTTCCAGGAGTTTGTCCACCATCCGCTCCACATCAAAGCCTTCCTCCATCCGGACCGCGTACTTCTTCCTCTTAGGCACACTGTCGGGCAGGCTTGGCTCGGCCTCCTCCTGGCCCCCCCTCTTTTTGGCCCTCAGCTCTGCCCGCTGATCCTCCTCTTGTCGGAGCCTCTCATTCTCTTCTTCGTCATCCTCATCCTCTTCCTCGGGAACCTCCACCACCTCCTTCCTACGTCCAGGCTCAGGCTCCTTTCGAGGGGGTGCCTGACTGGGCGCCTGTCTGGGCTCTTGACTAGGCCCAGCCTTATTTTCGCTCCTGGTCCGGCCTGCCTGCGGCACCCTCCCATGCGACGTGGGGGGTCTATAGGCCATACCTGACCTAGGGCCCGTCCCTACGGTCGCCACTCTTGGGTACCCCTGTTGTCCTGGCGAAGGCTCAGGTCCGGAGTCGTAGAGGAAGACCTCAGACAGATTGGCCTCCCACTCTCGGGCTTCTTCACACAGGGCTTGCAACTTCCGCTGGTATCTCCCCACCTTTTCCAGCAGATCTTCCATCCTTCCCAGGAGGAGTGTGGCCGGCTCTCCCTCGTCTTCCTGGCCTTCCTCGTCCGACTCGACGACTATTGGCTCCTCTCTTATAGTCCCCGCCTTTAGTCGCTGAGTAACCTCCTCGCTGTCTCCCACAATCTCCTCAACTTTTATGGCCAACTCTTCTTTTTCCTGCCACATCCTAAACATGGTCGGGGTTGTCGATGGCCCTGCCGCCGCTCGCCTAAGAGCTTCTTGCCTGATTCCTCCCGGGGTCCTAGGGTCGATATGCTCTCTCCACTTATCGTATATATCCCCGTCCATACAAGAGGAAATTAGACCTGCCAACTCATCGTCTCGCCGCCGTTGGCAGAACCGTATAGTATGGCCCACCTCGCAACAATGCCAACAGGTGGCGTTTCGCCAATCAAAGCGGGGCCTCCCATACCCTTGGCCCCCCTCTTGGCCACCTCGGCCACCTTGGTTCTGACCCCCCTGACCATTCCAACCACCCCCGCGACCCCCACCATTTCCTSCTCGGCCTCGGCCGCCACCTCCTCGACCCCCTTGACCTCGGCCTCCATTGCCTTGTCCGCCTTGTCCTTGGTTTCCTCCACCGGCCACACTAGCCTGCGAGGCCTGTTGGGAGGGAGGTGGTTGGGCCGCAAACTGACCCTGAACTGTAGGGTAGCTCGGGGGCCCCATACTTGCCGCTGGGCCCGCGTAAGGGACCATTTGCCCCGACTGAGTTTGACTACCCCCGCACGAGGCGCAGTGATTACAACTGGGCCAGGACGTAGGCTGACAATGCGGCACCCAATGCCCACAAGCCGACGGCGGCCCCATACATGACGGCCCAGCCGTCGCTGACGTTGTCGTGATAGCAGGTGGCGGCGCAGCAATCGCTTGTGGGGCCTGTCCTTTTCCGGATCCTTGACCCCCCACTTGTAAATTCCGTTGTTTCCTCTGGGCCTTGGTGAGGATCTGGGAACCCGTCTCTTCTCCGCCATAGTCCTCGCGCCTAGCCTCCTCTTCCACTGCCCCCGACGCCCGACCTTGGGCCACGATCGCTCCCCTCCTTTGCACTTCCGCCTCGCTATCATATCCCAGCGCTGCCAATACGTCCGTGACGATCCTCTTCACCCCTGGGGTCCCGGACGCGGTGGCGTCCCTTTCCTTTCTCTTGCGCCTTTGCAGCCACACCTGATGCTGCTCCACCTGGTCCAGACTCCCCTCCTCCACCCCTTTGTCGATAGTGGCCCAAGTGAGTTTTTCACTTCCCCCTCCGTGACCCGTCATCTCCGAGGCCTCCGAGCCAGTAAGCAAACCCAAAAATATGGCACACTGCGTTTCTTCAGCGATCCCGTGCACCTTCCGCGCCCTCCTTTTAAACTCGTGCACAAACGCCCCAATCGTAGAGAAATCATCCTTGTTCATGGCCTCCAAATCCGCCGTGGTTAGCAAGCCATCCCCCAACCTGTACTTTCTCTGCATCATGTCCCTGAACCTCGCCCAACTATCATTGGCGCCATCCACGACCTTGCCCACTTCGTGATGGTGGCTATGAAGGACATATCTTAGGACTCGCTGGAGCTTGACCTCGTCCGACAACCCTACCAAGGCTTGCTCCGTCAGGTCCAGCCAGTCGGACACCCGTTCTCCCTTGAAGTGGAAGGTATCAACCTTCGGGACATTGCTCGGCACTCTCTCGCGCTTATCCAGAGCCTCAACAAGGTCGTCGATCGTTAGAAGCTTTCTCCCGCCGTCCGCCATAGCTTCTGGCATATTGGGATGAATGCCCTGAATTCCAACCTCCCTGTTACAAAGACGATGGGACGCAAGGGTTCCTCTCAGCAATCCAATTTCAGCCGATCTTATCGGGCCAACCACTTCTACCCTCGATATTCTAGACCTGGCAGACATTCCTATCCCTGTTCCCCCTAGGCTCCCCTAAACGGGACTTATCCCCACCATAGGGTATCCTCACACATTTACCTCAATCGCACTATCAATCGTACCGCCAGTCAACCGAGTCATCTATACTTACTGCCATTCAAACCACCACACAGTCCGTCTCACAATATTTCCTTTATCCATTCATATGCCTAGTTCTCACTCATTCCCTTACCCGGATGTCGTTCCACCAGGGACAACGGTAGGCTTCCGTCATCCCCGGCAACGGCGCCACCTGTCGAGCGCATCGGTCCGGCACCGCATGTGGCAGCGCGGGACCCTCTTGGCCGTGCCACGCAGGAGTTGGACCAACCTCGACACAAACACGCAAATGGAGCTTCCTTAGGCCGCTCCGGCCGAGTGCGCCAGCCATACCTCTCGCGAGCCCCTACGACAGGA